AAAAAGAGATTACCTTTTAGACGCAAGATCCTCAAGGAAGAAAGATTGCTGATCCATTTTGGAATGCTTCCAGAAAGGTTGTTTTCTCCAAGATCTAGTATCTCCAATGAAGAGATGTTCAAGAATGAAGGTGTTAGAAGACCATTTAGTCTATTTTTGCTCAAATAGATATGTGATAAGGATTGTGAGGATGGACTAGAGCAATGTGGTAGAGACCCAGATAAATTGTTGTGAGATAGATCGAGAAGCCAAAGGTCAGCATTATAGCAAAATTCCTCTGGAATTGAACCATCAAAGTGATTGTTGGATAAATCCAATTCAAGCAAACCAAGGAGATTCTTTGTCCATCTTGGAAGCTTTCCTGACAAATTGTTGTTGCTAATGTCCAATATTCTTAGATATGAAGACCTAGAAAAGTGGACATTGGATATCTCTCCTTCAAAATTGTTTCTGTCCAGATACAATGCCTCAAATGATTGAGACTTAAATACACCAGGAGGTATTTTCCCAGTCAAGTTGTTATTCGAAAGTTTAAGATGAAATGATGATGTTCCCGTAACAAACTCTTTTGGTAATGTTCCAGAGAACTGGTTGCTAGACAAGTCTAAAAATTCTAAAGAGTTCATACTAACCAACCACTTGGAAAATCTTCCTCCAAAGCCATTTCCAGACAAGATTAACCCTGTTAAATATGGAAAAATCATACTGATATTTAATGGGATTTCACCTTGTATTTGGTTATTCGAAATATCTATTTCCCGAACATCAAGATTAGGTCGTGATGGCAAGTGGAAAGAACCCATGAAAGAATTGTTCTTCATAACAGCAACTTGCAATCTCGTATTATTTTCAAACAACCAATAAGGTAAGGCTCCCATAAATTGGTCAAATGAAAGATCAACATATCTCAAGTCATATAGGTAATAGAGAAGGCTAGGAGGTTTAGTGAGTTCCTCATTTGCCTTACAATTTGACAAACTAAGGAATCTTGGCTGGAACTTGGGAACCCTTGTTTGAACATGATCATGTTCTGGAACCAATTGATTGAAATCACTGAAGAAGACTTTAAGGTTGGAATGGTTTGCAAATGACTTGAAGGAATCTGGAACTTGAAATTTATTAGTAGAAATTGAGAGATATCGGAGCAAAATAAGATTAATTAGGGGAGAAGACGCAACATTTCCAGTGAATAGATTTTGGGAGATATCCAAAAGTCGAAGAGATGTCAAGTTAGCCAAGCAAGGAGGTAGTATCCCTATCAATTCATTTCTAGAAAGGTCCATCTCTTCAAGGTTCTTCAAATCACACCAACCTTGAGTTGGTAAGGTTCCTGTGAATCCACAATTTCTTAGAGATATTGACCTGAGAGAAGTCAATGCACCAATATTTTGCAGAAAGTTTATGCTAAGAGGGGACTGATCCAAGAAAAGTTCCTCTAGATTGCTCAAAACTTGCAAAGCTGCAAAATGGTTATCATATTAGTTGTGAATATGTGTTGCTGAAAAAAAAATTATGAGCATATAGAAATTAATATAAAAAACACAAGCAATAATATTGTAGAATGCCATTTATGGAATACTTACTTTGAATAAACATGGTCTGGTTTAGATGATAGTTATTTGTCAAATAGAGTCTCTTAAGTGATGGGAATGCCTCTAGTGATAACTGTGCTGGCACACTGCTTTCCTCAGGAAATATTTCATTAAGATCAAGAGTTTTTAACTTGCTAAAGCTTGTATTTGCTGTGGATGATAAAAAGAAAATGAAGATTATGTTGAAGAGTTTTGAAAAAAACATATAATTAGTTGAAGGATACGTCTCTATCAAAACAAAAAATAAAACAAACATATAGTCACAATATCATTTGATTGATACCATTAGTGGAAACGAATTGGTTGAGTTCGTTGTTGCTCATTTGTAGCTCTTCTAAGCATCTTAAAGCCTCAAATTCTAGGAAAACCACAAAAAAAGTTATTAGATCACGCATAAGTAACAAATAAACTGCTTTCAATGTCTCAGCAAGAAAGAAAAAACAATTAAACTATGCCTGAACTTACTTGTGACGTCTACTAATCCTTTTAGATTATTAGCTTCTATATTCAGGGATTTTAGATTTGAAAATTTGTTGACGAAAGATAGCACACTATTGTTGAAGAAATTATAACTCAAATCAAGGATCTCTAGATGGACAAACCTCAAATTTCGTTCATCTGCCAAAAATATATGGTCTCATTACAACCAATTTTGTTAATATTAAATATTAACTTAGGAAACAAATTAAATATATGTACCTTGGGAAGATTCGAGGCTTTCAATGTCATTAGAACTTATGTCTAACACCTTTAAGTTTCTCAGATTACTCAATTCTGTTTAAGCTCATCATCAAAATAAAAGAATGAAAAATATGTTTAATTCCAATAAAATATTATAGGATAACATAGCTTTTTAAGGGAAAAGATATAATAAAAATGAAAACGGTTGAAAGCAAGCTTAATTACCTCTTGTACTCAATGTGCCATTTAGTCTACAATTGGACAAGATTAGAGTTTTTAGAGATGAAAAACTACTTAAATATGATAGAATGCTGTTGTTCAAGTCCTTATTATCACTTAAGTCGAGAAATTCCAGATGGTGAAATCTTGACAGCTTTTCAAAATCAGCTCCTACAAATTAAAATTTCAGAACATAAAGTATTTATTTAAAATGATCAAATATTATATCATCTCTAATAAACATACAATAAAATTTGTTAAATTTTTACCGTCTCTATGGTTTGATGCTATCATTAAGTTGCAGTGTATCAAACACAAAGACTTGAGAGATGGAAGCTCATTTAAAGTTGTTAAGATATTAATATTTAAGTCATTACCACTCAGATCAAGGATTTTCAAATTTCTCAAATTAGAAAACCTCATGAAACCTGCAATATAATTTTTTGCAACTCATACAAGTTAGTTATGGGTTCAATT